CTGGTAACAGACGTCGGATACCGGAAGTAGCAGCCATTATAGGACCCGTTTTCCTTGCGTTTTGAGAGCTCGGCTGCCCATGCATGACAAGGTCTATAGATTCCTTCATATCAATAAACAATTCAATAATCTGATCCAGTATCACTGAGCATCAGGAAGTTTGTGGATTTGGCATTAAATGATCAAAGAAATCACAGAAATCTTCTGTGCACCACGCCAATATTGTGCAGGTCCTTCAGGCCATCAGCAGCACCTGTCATCAGATGAGTCTTCAAAACCCACCCCATGTTGTGGTGCTTCCTGTAGCATCCCAGCAGATCAGACACAGCTAGTTCCATGACGAAGGCATTCGTGCCATCGGAATGGATTGCTCCATAGCAACGAACCACATTGGGGGGCAACATCTTCATGTGGAACTCAACCTCAGACAAGAAATCGGCACGGGCTTCAAGGCCGAGATCACCGCTGAGCTTCTTCACTTCGCCACATTAATGTGGGGTGGATGCAATATTGCATCCACCCCAGTGGCCCTTGGATACCATGCCAACGCTTCCTTCCCAGAGCTTCTCCAGCCATTGAAAATCTTCGTTGTTGATCCTCAACTTCAGCGACTGTATGTGTTGGCAGTGCTCTTTGAATTGCTTCCCAACATCAGCTCGATCTTTATCACTGAGATTCACACCAGCAGCTCCACCCTCAAGGATGCATGCCAGAAACCAATCCGATTTCCTCTGTCCCCATCAGCCCACCTCTCATCCACCACTGTCTTTACCGTCGATGTGTTGTCAGCACTCATACAGCACAAGCAGTCCTGGACCCTCGCGCATGTCACTTCCACATCCTGCCTGACTCATCCGGCTTTATAGAAAGCCGAGATCTTGAATGGCTCACCGTGTCTTCTGACCAGAAGAGAGCACCAATCAATCTCGGCATTCAGGACTGGCACAAAATCTCCAACGTCCTCCAGGACAAACCCTGCATGCTGTTGCAGTAGATCTGCAACTTTTTCCATTTCGTTGCTCAGAAACTGAATGACATCTGCATTGTACCTCACATGAATTACAAATTCAAATGCTTTGTGGACTTTATCCACAATTTCTTGCACATGGTGTACCATCTTTCACGCAGCACACCTACAACACAGCAGAAAATGTGGTATTGACAATATCGCACTGCAGCTAACAGTACTTTATGCTTAGACTGACTGGCGGCATGCACATACCTAACATTCTGCCATTGTTCTGCTGTTCTGGGACAATGCCACTGCGACGGTACTGCTTGTCCAAGAATCGTATTGTGCTCTGCATGTGAGCAGGCTGCTGATTTGCAAAATCTTCTGTGATGTGACTTCATTCTATCAGTCACGCACAATTTCACTACTGTCCCCAATCCGCTCTACATGTTGCATACCTAGTCATTTCCCATTTCATATTGCAGCCACAAGCGTTGGCTGTGCGTGGATCTATTGTCCATCTCCAGATATTATAACTATGAATCCTGGCACAGGAACAAGTTCAAGCAATAAGCTATGGTCATCCGTGGATTCCAATCAGTGCCAATGAACTGAAGGCGCACGTTTCTGTACAATGCACAATTTACAGCGCATTGCCTCACCGATCTCACAGCGGCAAAATCTCAGGAAATGTCTTCAATCAAGCCCCAATCAGCGTATCGCCGAGAACGGGTGCCCTGGCACGGACAGCCGGAAAGGCAGCAACTGCCAAGCGTCCACGCTTTGTTAAGTGGGACGCTGGGAATGCAGCGAGCAGGCATTCCAGTATCTGGAAATCCACATCGAGTCCGGTGCTGACGTCACATCAGCGGCATGTGCACCCACGGACAGTTCCCGATACACCCGCGAGGGCCAGCCCAGCCTGGTCGTGGCCACACACAACGCCGTGCGGAGAACCCAACGAAGCTCCGTGAGCCGGAAGGACGGACGGAATGCCCACAGCGCGCCCGTAAGGTGGGAACTGTGCCTTGGCGTGTACCCACGAACGAAAGAAAATGTGATGCGGCCCGCCCTCCCCTGCAGAGCAGGTTCTGCTGCACGACCGCCCACGGGCCGACGCAAGCACGGCCGACGGGTGCCGGAAGCCATTCGTTATTGCTCCAGTGCCCCGGGGCCAGTCACATCGTCGGTGCGCAGCGATGGCGATCAAGGGATGTCTCAATCTTTCTTTGCCCCAGCGCCACACAGATGAATCGATCGGAGACGAGCGGAGTCTCAGACACTCGTCTGCTGCCAAGAGATCCCCGAGAAGGGAGAATGAATCAGGTCGAACCGACCCGTCGGCGCGCGTTCACGGAAGGAGAGGCGCCTCGCAGGTGCGGCGCCGCGGGGCGGGGGCCGCCGGGTCCGTGCGCGGTGTGCCGAGGCCGCGGCCCCTGCACCGAGAACGAAGCGAACGTGATGCGTCATCCAAACAGATGATGTGCCTCCAACAGGGTTCGGCGCCAATCTGCTGGGTGGAACGGTACTTAAGGTACTGGACTGCCTCTCCTTCGTTGTTCCTGGTGGCAGCTTAGTACCCAGACCGATCCCCGATCTAGACACTCTTCACCGTCCGCACCATCAAACGCTGCCCGCATGCATGAGGTATCCCGGCCTTGATGTTGCTGGGCGCGTCGGTGACAAAGGGTTGATGTGGCGTCACCCCTTCCTCGTCACACGGCCCCTTCCATGCCCATGCGATATGGCACAGGCACGGGAGTGGTCAGATGACGACGAAGGGGTGACGCGCCCAGCAAGAGAAAGGCCAAGGCCGGGAGGGGGATGTCGACAAAGTGGAAGTAAGTTCGGCCTCAGAAAAAAAAAGAAAGTAAAACGCTGTTGCAAAGGCGCACTATTTTGTGTGCCCGTTTCCAGCGCTGTTTGCGCAGCTGCCGATGTCTGAAGGCCCCGCAACCCGCTGGATTTATGGCGTGCATGGCAATCGCTGGCGGGTATGGGCCCGTGGCATGTTTACGATCTTCAGCGCCCCCTCTGGCCCTGTCCACTCGGCGATGCGTGTGGGCGTCGATCTTTGGCCCATTGAAGCCAGAGGCGGCCGAACCGAGGGTGGCTGCCAGCAGCCCCGGTATTTAGCCAGCTCATGGCACGTCGCTGCGGTTTGGCGGGATGGGATCGTGGCCACCATGTCCGCTAGTAGCGGTGATAACCCAAAGTGAGGAACTTTTGCAGTGCATCTGCGATGTGCTTGCAAAGTCTCCGCGATGTGAACATTGGCATTGTCCATTCTCAATTGGAAACCATGGACTCTCCTCTTTGCTGATCAATATTCATTGATCCAGAGCGCCCAAGTGAATGGTGCTTGCGGCGCCAACCAGACGCACATGGACACCTTCGTTGACTTCAGCCCGCCAGCGAGCCCACTGCAGCGCTTACATCCCGGTGCAACTTTCATGGATTCAGCAGTTCACTACACCGGCGTTGTTGTATGCTATATGGACTCTGTACGTTTGTGCCTGGGAGCTAGGAGGGAAGCGCTCACACTTGCGCTTGCAATGCAGGTCCCCATCGCCATAAGCACCTGCTACAACTTGCTTGGCCGGGACTCACCCCTCAGAAGGCGAATGCCCGCTCATCAACAAGGTGCAGTGGGTGCTTAAGGACTTCGAGGGCTTGCGCGCCACAGAGCGTGCTGACTCCAGCCAGTGGGACATCCACAATTGGCCAGTGGAAGTGAGGAGCCAGAAAGCAATCCAGCGGCAGGAAGGAATCTTGCGGAGCCCAGCAAAAGGTCAAGAGCACGGGTGCAGGTTTGGTAGAGTGGCCTTTGTTGGCTGCCTGAGGGTGGCATCCATGGAAATGTTGCAGTTTTATTTTCTGGCAAAGACTTTGTTGAATCTCGTCGTTGGAACTCCTTTATACTTCGAAGTATATAGTTCTCTCTCCGGAGTTCTAGGACCGGAACAAGCAAAACTCACCTTTTGGGGTGACTGGAAAGTCGTAATGTAAACAACTCTATCCAGCGATTTTCATGTTTGGGATGGCACATTGAGATGCACTCGGGCCTTCCCTGGAGGAACATTCAGATCAGAAGGATTCCATCGCATCCAAGAGCAACATTTGCCAACACCTACTTACATCTACTATAGAATTCCTGATGTACATCTCAAACTCGAATTCAGACATCATCCAGGCGAGCCGATTCCCTCGGATTGGGGGACCTGGATAATCAGATTCTTGATCTGGATCTTCGAAGATCTACAAAACCCGATGGCTATTACGATGATGCCTTGCGTGCGTCATCCGAACAAATCCCTCACCTATGCTCTGGGCCCCCTGCCATCTCGGTTCCCAAAAAATTCGTCGCCAATGAGGAGAGGCCCTTAAGATGACTGAACCTCAAGCACAGTTCGCATGCACAGCAGCTTCACTCCAAGGAGCACCAGTCTGGGGGCGACCAGCTCACCATCTGCGAGCGGCACAAACAGGGCTTCCAGGGTTGAGGAAGAGCCTGGGACGGCAGGGATGTGGACAGATCCCCGCAGAGGAACGCATGCCTGCCAGCCTACCTCCTGTGGGAGACACGCACAAGAGTGTGATCACAGTGTGTTTCTATCTATTGCATAGGCAAAGATTGATTGGATGCTGCTGTGGCCGTCATCGCCTCCCAGGTGCAAGGGCGTTGGCTTGTGAAGTGCCTTTGGCTGCCAACGCAACTCACATGATAGTGGGGTTAGTCGTGATAACAACCACGGCCAAAGACAACACCGACTGTGCAACTTGCCACAACTCCTGGTGAAGGCAAGGGGCACTCGGATCAGATGTGCGGGAGCATATTCAGGAGGGTCATCTGCATTTCTGCTTCAGTAAACATACGCATAAGCGACACAATGTGTTTTCATCCCAATACTCTGAAGCGCCAACTTCGAATTGGTCTGCAAATCGTACCACCAGAACCACACCAGTTGGATGCAATTTTGCCTGCCATCGTCTTGAAGGTGTGCAGGCGACATTTATCACATTCTGCCAGACACAATCAGAACAGATTTCACACCACACCTCCAGCGTGCCTCGTGCCAGGGCCCAAACGTACCATCTGCAGTTCATAAGGGATCAACTCCTTCGCAACAGGTTCCTCTTCCACCCTTTCCAGCACCCACGTGAGGGCAACAGGGACACCCATCTTGACCATGGGCGGTGGCAGCAGTACCCCCTTGACTTTCTCCTTCCGGGGCCCAGGCCCATCCAGCACAGACTCCACTGAAAAAGGCCATGTGAAACGGCACTCCTGGGCCCCCCCAGGCACCTTACTCTGGCCCTTTGGGGGAAGCTTGGGTGGGCGCAGCTGTGTGACGTCAGCACCTTTGGAGTGGGGAAGGAGGGCGCTTCCACAGCAAAGGGTCACTGGCATGGCATTGGTGAACATGTCCACTGTGTAGGCCAATCTCAGCTGGGATTGGAACGAGTCGTCCTCTCCAGCAATGCTTCCATGCACTTCATTCACTGTTTGAAGCACAGCAGTGTAATTTGTGATGGTGCTCTTGAATGCCTGAGATACCTTGGGAAGCTCGACTGAGAGAGCAAGAGAGTGAGCACATGTGCGGGAAAATGTGAGTATTGAGTCCCATGGTACAATTGATTAATTCCTCGAAGAGTTTTAGACTCTATGCAGGGAGGACTTCGGAGAAAGGATGTGGCGGCGGTAGCCCTACGCAGACTCCCTTTTAAGGAAATGAGACAAATTTCGTTTTTTCAAGACAGACGTAACGAAAGGGCTTGTGTCTTATCATAGATTGGAAACTTGGGGCGCAATTAGACTATAGGAACTAGATGGTATGTGGAGCATAGCAAGGGAATCTGATGACGGTACGCCAAATCTTCACTGCTGCCAACAATGATACCAGAAGCGCCAACAGACACTCTAACTGGAAAGAGCATGCTCACTTCCTGTACGCTGCAGTCATGGCGTTCCAGTGCAAGGCAGGCCATGGAACAGACCAGAAACAGGCCAGAAATGGCCAGAAATGGCCAGAAATGGCCAGAAATGGCCAGAAATGGCCAGAAATGGCCAGAAATGGTCAGAAATGACTGTCATATATCCCCAAGGGGGTCTACCCCCACGATGTGCAAAGCCCACAAACCCCAGCAAACATGGGGCCCATTGCCTTCCTAAATAAATGGCAGATGGGTGGAAGATCAACACATTTGATGCATGCATTCAGAATCACAGGGCCGCAACCCCACTTGCCACCCAGGACGCTATTGCACAAGCCACTAGAACCATGGGCGATGGCGTTTGGTGGGACGTCTGATACCACTGCTAACAAAGCTGACGATTGACCTACCCAAGTTCAGGTCCACCCGAAAACACACCCCCAGCGACTCCCCAGGGTACAGTTTGCTTGGCAGCTCCAGGCCCCAAGCCCTCAGCCTCTGCTCTGGTCCAGGCGTCAGCTCCAGGACCACCTCGCTGAGAGTCGCGGCTACCAGCATCCGCGAAACCAGGGTCGCCTGGACCAGCGCTTGCTGGTGTGACAGAGGTGCCGAGTGCAGGTGCACTGCCATGGGGTCGTTCACGGGCAGCTGAAGAAGGACAGAATGGGTGCGCCAACAACGGCTGAAGTACTTCACTTGCAGCTGCAAGTGCAGGGAGGCATCTGCTGCAACAAGGACATGGAATTCTTGTGTGTTGAAGACTGAACGGGACAATTCAATATTTGTATCTCCATTTACACCTGTACGAATTAGCGACAATCGGCAGTCAATCTACAAGTGGAATACCACTGCACCACATGAGGAGTTGTGGATACATAGCCAGCAGATTATCTCCGCTCGGGAATCCTCTGGAGCTGTTGTGCTTCTTGGGGATTCCAGGATATTATGAGGACACCATTGTAAAATACACACCATTTTTTTGTGCCTGGGTCAGTTTTCAAGGGTGCAGCCATGTGCTTTAAACATTGAGTTTACTACAGGCACACAACAATTCAGCAGGCCTCTGTAAGGCAGACCTTAGCAAAGCATCTTGCAGTCTCACAAAAGGAGAGGCTTACCACCAGGATCTGCCTTGTCTTGTGCTTGATCCGCAGCTGTTCGGAGAACTCCTTTCGCCATCGGAACCAAGCTGGGCTGTCGAAAGAGCGTGCCCATCGCCGAAGCCCCATCAGAGCACCCCGAACGCCTGAGCCCACTCCCAACGCTCAGCACCAGCCACACAAGCAGGCCACCATGCAACAACTGCGTCTCCGGCAGGTTCACCTGGCCATCGACGATATCCACCCATTTCCCTTCCCTTTCACAGTTATGGTCAGCGCCGCTATTTTCTGGTAGTGAGGTGCTGGCATCTGGCTGACACTGCCTTGACACATATGCCTGACTGTGTCCTAGCCAGCCCAGATCAGGAGTTTTAGATTTGGGCCTTGGAGGCAGCCGTGCGCCGTCTCTCCTTGTTGCGATACGGATTGGGCCATCAGGATCGTCTTCTGTTGACATCTGCATAGTCCCAGTCTCGATGTGTTCGTCACCGCTGATGTGGATGCAAAGCCATTGGCGTTGCCCAAACAGGAGACAGCCGTCTGAGCAGAATGCCGATATGGACAGCCGCTGCTGTGCGGGCAGCACGTGGAGCACGACATTGTCTTCACATGTCGGCTCTGGCCAAAGACCAAGGCATTGATTGTTAAATTGCATCCAAAAACAGAAGTGAGAACAAAATTAAATCGAAACAACTTGAAAGCTTTGGATGGAACTGCACAGAATTCAAGGTGCACACAAGCCACCACAACGACTGGACAAATAAGTATTGAGCTGCCACGTGATGGGTATTCCCTTCTGTTGAAATTTTCACCCTGTCAGAAAGCCTTTGCCATCAGAGGAATGTCAATGGTTATCTTCTGCACTGAAGCAGCCACGGAACAATAAGAACATCTCAGGAGCACGAAAACGTGTACAGCAACACTTTGGTGCAAGGTGCAAAGAATGAGCATATCAATGAAATGCACAGTGCTTAGGCCTATTCATGACATCTCGTCAGAGCACACATCGACTGCAATGTATTAATGTCAGTCAATAAAACTGCAATGTCATGGGTACCCCAAATTGGTTGCTCCCAATTGGCTTGCAGTGCTTCACTAAAGGCTGCTATTGAATTCCATGAATTTCAACTTACAACATCAACAGATTTGCTCCAACATCTCAACACTACATGTCTTGCTGTGGGCCATGGCAAATTCTTCATTTCTATTTCTTTCATTGTCCCTTATCCTTCTTTTGGTTTGGCACCACAGCAAAACACAAGCAAACAGACACTGAATCAACAAAATCAATAAAGCATGGTGTGCCACATAAAAACAGATCTACACATGTGCATAGCCGTATCACTACTGCTTAATGCAACATCCAGAACTCAAACTAGCAGCAAAGCAGGCAGTGCCAACGCCCAACTCCCTGACAGGAACATTCCAAACAAGTGCAACAAGGAAAATCTTGGGCAATACCTACAGACTGGTCTGTTTGGCCACTAGACTTTGTTTTCGTCCAGAAGCTCTGCCATCGGGGGAGCTCGAATCTATGTTGCCCTGATTTCACAGGCATGCACAACCGAACATTGTGCACATCTGCAGAGATGTCACTGAGGGCATAGGCGCCCCCTTGTGTAGGACAGCAGTAGAACTTAATCCTGCTGGTGCCTGGCTCCAGTGTCAGGCTGCCACTATCTGCATCTAAGCACTCTGGTATCGATGTGCAGGACAGAGTTCGCTCCACGGCACTACCAGATACAGAAGCGACACACAGGGTCGTCAAATCCAATTGTTCTGCAACAGCATCGGCATTGAGGTTAACGAGTGCTGAGATTCATCAGATGGGCCCCTGAGCCTGTGTTTACTTGCTGTTTGTGTGCCGTGCATTGTTGTGAGAATAATTTGAGGTGTTTGCAGACATCAATGCCACTCTTTGCAGAGGTGGACAGATTTTCAAACATCTTGCTCAGGACAGGATGCCTTATCATTGTTCAAGGTTTCATCCCCCCTTGAGAAGCAAACGAGATCAATGCAACCAAGGCAGGTAGACGAATGGTTGTCACAGCACAGAAACGCTGCAGGGGAAATGGCCCTATGTCACACAACAGTGAGCACCAGGCTGAGCATGTTAATCAACAACAACAGCATCCTGCCAACGTGCACAGGGTACCAAGCCATCTCAAGATAGGTGGCAACTTAAGATCAATGCCAGGCCATTGAGACTCCAGAGATGATCCCTTGGGCGCCATCTACTTGCCCAGGCCCCTACTGATCTGTGTCCAGAAACGCATGTAGTACTTGCACATTTGGAAGAATGTGCCCTTGAAGGCCTGCAAAGACATGGCCTGCTAGCCGAAAGGACAGTGCTTGGTCAAGTTTGAGACAGGGTCATTGGGAATCTATGCATGTCCTGATGCTGAAGCCAATGTGACCAAAAGGAGAGGGGGGCAAAAGCCACACAAAGTGGCCCCACCTGGTCAAAGGTGCATCTGCAGCAGATCCCTTTCTCTGCAAAAGCTTTGGGGAACCAGGCAAGGCCTGTGAGGCAGATGGATCGCCCTGCCTTCCGGCCTGCTGCAGTGGGCTGCTAGGGTCACTGGGCCGGCAACCTGGCCCACAGATAGCAGCCAACTTTCAGCATCTTGGAGTGTTCGCACAATTCAATGTCAAGGGCCAAATCCCATCTGACAACTTGTGAAGAACTGTGAAGATAACCATCAGGTGATGGGGTGCTCCTATGTGCTGGCAATGTTGAGGGCTTCTGGCCTTTAGGGATACACTGTGGCACCTGGGTACTTCCAAAAGCAAGGATGTTCCTGTGCCCATGGAAATGGTTCCACCAGAAACGCATTGGACCAACAGCAGGCTACAGGGCGAGAGGCCACTTCACAAGGCCAACGCAACTTGTTTGCCACACCCAGTAGAGAAACACATCCATTCATTGCTGATGACATCCTCAAGCCAATGAGGTGCCTGGCCTTCGTTCCAAAGTGTGCACAAGCAAGTGATCCAATCAGCCCAGACAATAAACACAAAACAACAGGGGTGCATGATATGGACACCACCAGGATATGTGCACCCCACCTGTGCATTTTCCAGGCACTGCAACAAGCTAGTATACATCGGCCACTCAACCCACTTGGTTCTGTTCATCAAGTCGTGACATGGAAACTGGATGGAAACTGGCCTTGAATACACAAGGTGATGTCAGGAAAGCCACCACAGAGTATCAACCCAGAACACAACTGTTCAAAAGGCACAGCTGAGCTCAAAGGAAGAAGCCATGTTCACAATGACATTTCGAATCATGCATGGGCAGCACCAGAACAGACAGTGCAGTCGAGCCACTGCGAGCAACGCACCCATCTCTGTTTCCAGTGCTCGGCCGCCAACCAACAGCAGCGTGAGGCTGGCGTTGGTTACCTTCAATGGCCGAGGCAATGTGCTGCGCACCTCCACGTCCAGCTCAACGATGTCCCCGGCGTGGGCCAGAAGGGCCCCCCGGGAATGGACTCCTTCCCCACTGCCAGACGCTGCACAAGCAGGGGGAACGAGCACCGGCTCCGCGTTGTCATCGACGTCTCCAAAGAACGAGGAGCACCCGAGCTTCAACGGTGATATCTGAGCATCAAGAGACGAGTGAATGGGAAACAGCCAAAAAATGGGCCGGGGAGGTTGCGTAATCATAGGGGACACAATAGAGGACACAAGCTCCCAACGACACAAGAGGAAGCTGCGGAACAATCAAAGACCTCTGCTGGCCTATGAGAACTCAATCTTCTTTCTGGCATTGTTCCATTGAGCAGCTGTTCAGCCGTTTGAACCACAATACTACATGTGTACCATAATCTTGCAGGTGCAAGGGAAGTTCGTTTGTCATACCTTGGCACATGCTATCAGATAGATTCTCCAAAGCCGACTGTAGAAGGCAAAACACAGGGCCACGGCCCGTTGGCTTGCTGCCCCACATGGCAACACACCCCATTGAAGGACAGCAATTCCTCCATTACAAATTTTGGCTTTGCATTTCAGCGACACAAATTCATTCCTTGCTGACGTCAGTCTCCATGTCACTCAAACAAGCATTAACATCCAAGACAGGGCACCTCAACATTCCCCCTGTTAATAAGGGCAACTGGAGACACATATATCCTGGGTCTTGGGTCGTCCTGCACCAACACGTTATTTCTTGGATTCACATGTTAGCTTCTTGACTGTGGGTTTCTGGATGGTGGCACTGTCATGGGTATGTTTTATCCTCTGCAGTCATAGGCGGCCCTTCAGTCGATTTTTGGGAGGGGACTGGCCTGAATGTGTTCTAGGTATGCTCTCAGGGGGAGTCTTCAGAGAGGTTGCTGTGGGTAGGGTCCTTGTCCACCACAGAACACTGAACAGCGGTGGGCAAGTTTGACACTACATAGTCTTGGGTCCATGCAAGGACAGGCAGACATTGTGTTGGGTTAGCTCTTTCGTTTGAGGATGCATTCACATTGACATTCATGCACATTTGTCTCACTTTCCCTCTTCTCTTCCCTCTAGTTTCAGATGGAATACCAGAAGCCAATTCAGGAAATGAGATTCAAGGCTTTGGACGCATTCAGAGATCCATGAGCACAGGATGGGGGCACAACACTGCATCAGCTGCGAGACTCTGTCTAACATGCCCAGCAAAGGAAACAACAAGCGCACCTGACAATTCCTGGAAAGGGAGGTCTTCACAATTCCTACATTGGGCAACGTCTCACACTTGGATTTGCTGCCATCGCCTTGAAAGGGCAACAGCAGCCACATGCACATTCTGACACCTGCCATCCACCCGCACCTGCAGAGCTGGAAGTGCCACTAGTGACTTGGCTCCCCTGTCCTCCAGAATTCTACCACACTCTTCAAATTCTTCCTGCAGCTGGACCCTGTCCTCCTGGCCCACAAGCCCAGCAGGCAGTGCCAGCATCGTCAGGCACACTGCCATGAGGCCTGCAGGGTCTGAAGCCCGCAGGGAGGCTGCGTAGCATGGCAAGACATCCTCCATCAGGACTGGCCAACCCTCCTTGGCATACATCTCGCATTTAAGGCGGTACAGCTGCTGTGCCTGGGCCACCATGCCATGCCGCAGCAGCAGCGGGGCAACATCCACACGCAGGATGACGCTTGTACGTATGCGCCCAGCCCTGGAACATCATAGGGACGTCTCAAATGTAATGGTGGCCCATGCGCAAACATTCTTGTCTCACCATCACAACTCAGCATTGAGTTGAGCTAGCAAAGCATGGCTTCTACTTCTCCTTGAAGCTGAAGCCCAGTGTCTAAGTCACCGCAATTTGTGCAGACACGGTGAATCACAGGACTTTCACCCCACTGTGTGATGTTTGGGTCACAGCAAGGCTACTCAAAAGCGACATGTGCTACGAACCATGTGCACACCATCTCTGAACCACAGCTACAACAGCATCAATAGAAAGCACACTTGCAGCTTGTTCGGGCACCAACAAAACACAAAGCGCTCTACCTCGAATTCCCTGGAGAAGGTCTCCTTAACGTGCCCTTGGCAACCCAACCACCTTTAAAACCCTGACGGTCACACTCTTCTAATCTGCACAACTTACTATACACAAATTATACACAAAATATTATGCACAAGTATAATTATTATACACAAATTATTATACACAGTGCCCCCCTTCCAGCGAGGCAGTTACCTTGCATAGCACCAGGCTGCTGTGAGGGTGAGCTCAACAAACAGGTCCTCAAACATGTCCTCAGCACTCAGTGCCTTCCTCAACCGCCACTCAGCCAGCCACAAGCCAGGGCCCAGAGTGCTGTTGGCACTGTCACCCGCCGAGGCAAAGCTCACATCATCACGGGACAGATCTGCACCCTACAGGAAAGGGGGAAAGGCAGTCTGAACCAGTGCCACAGGGCAAACATTTCCAAGGCATGGGCTTTGTGCATTTCTTTAAAAGGAGCAAAACGCTCCAGCCACAGAGAAGGGAGCAAGGCAGACCCTTCCCATCTGCAGATATGCAGTGCCATGGTATGGATATATGAACAAACTCACCACAATTGCAAAAAACTGGTCTCGTTGCTCCTTAACAAGCATATTGAGACAACATCCAATAGAAATTGACCTGCACACTGAGAAGCCGAGCCCATGGTTGCACACAACAAGATACCAGAAATCTGAATAACAAACATGGCAACAGGAAACAGGATGCAGAACATCGATTTCTCTGGGACCCACAAAGACTATTTTGAGACAAACAGGATGGTTGGAAACACATTGTCCACTGTGGGCCCCATCCCTCATATGCTGAACCCCCATTGCCATCGTATTCATCACTTCCAATGCCAGCAGCAAACCCCTTCGCCCAGTGCTCAGGCTGCACAATATCTGCTTACAATCTGGCTCTCGGCACTGTCGTCAAAGCTCCCACTCTGCAGGAATGGCTGGAATCCCTCTCCAGCAGTGTCCGTGCTCACTGATTGGCCCCTCCTCCAATCACCAAAGGGTGTGTCACCACCCGTTGTGCTGGCCATCGTACGTGGGGACGCTGAAGCCTGGCTGCCCATCTCCGAACGAACGGAGCTGAGCTCCAAGAAGTCCTTGGGCGCGAATTTGGCATATGCCAGTGTGGGGGTCAGGGTACCCTGAAGGAACAATCCCTGTGATCAGAACTTTGCCAAAAGGTGGAAGGCGAGGGCAGTCGCTTTGCCATGTGTTGACAAAGTGGTCAGGTTGCATATCCGACCAGATGTCACTATGCACACCACAGCTTGCTGACAAGCTCCGCATTGATCCTGCCAACACTGCTGCAATTGGCATCACCACCATTGCAATTATCATCCCTTGACACTTGTCACTGGCAGTGTACTTGTTGCTGTAGTTCCTGCCAGCTCAACTGTCAAGACTTGCGCAATTTCTTCTGTTGTGCAGTTCATGCCACTGCTGCTGTCAGCAAACAGCTGCTACCCAACCCAAGGAACCCTGGAACCCAAACACAAGACAGGGGCCAGAGGGCACAACCACAGGATGCACACATATGTAGTGGCTCAGGAATGGTTGATCTCAGGTTCCTGTGACAATACCATTCGAGTCTGGAAATTATGGTGCCAGTGGCTGCATCCATGCACTTGGCGCAGCCAAATCGGCTGGTCACCCAGTTTCCCACTGGAATGGCTGCCCCGGGATCCTCAACACAACCACTCAATGACACTGCAAAAGAGTGCATGCAATCATTGCACCCCTGACAACATCCAAGGACTTCAAAAAGCAATCCCTTCATTTACCCTCCCATGATTAGAAAAAGACTGATCTTGCAGGAATGGACAGCAGCAGCAATGTGGAATCACTGGCTGCATTGAGCAGTTGCTTGGATGTGCTGTTGGCGTTGGCCTCTTCACGACCTCCAGACAGCCAGTTTGCAAAGATATCAACAACAAAAATGAGCAATTCGACGATGAGCAGTCAGGGCCCTGCAGCACAAGAGCTCTCCATAGTGCATTGCCAAGATGCTGTGGATCGGGTGCCCATTAGTCCTCCTGTCCTTCAGCCCAGCCTAGCGATTAACACTGTCACTAAAGAATAACTAGTTTCCTCTGATGAATAAGTGTAATACAGGTCATCTGCTTGCCAGCCAGGCAGGCTAGAAGCACTGCGACCTACAGCTAACAGCACAATGCAATAGGCCCAATTCAAAGAAAACATCCGAACACAGGTGGTAACAGCACAGCACGTCATGCAGCTCACAGTAAGGGCACTGGCTGGACAATGCAAAACACTTCAAATCCCTGGGCCTCCTGAACAAGTGGGAGCAGAAACAGAACACTGCAGAACTGCAGCAGGACTCCAACAGCAAGCAAGACAAGCGAAACAGCTCATCTTGTACACAGCTCCCCCCACCCTCCCCTTTCCCTTCCGTTCCTCCTGCATATGTTGTGCGCTTCAGCAGCACTGGAGACTTCATCATCACCAACTATATGATGGAAAAGACCCCAAGAAACAACTATGCTCCTGACAGGGATGGGACCATCCTATGAATTATTCTCTTCCTCAATGACATGGACACTGCTCAGCCCTTACTCCTTACATTCCTGGGCATCCACAGATGCACCGTGCTAGAGTTGGCTGTGAGGTTGGGCTTTGGCAAGCCAACGAGCACAAAGTTGGGCAGATGGTGGAGCTCACTCTGATCGTGCACCAGTGGAAACATGGACTGCCGGACAGCAGCCACCATTATGAATATGATCTGTTTGGTAGAAAACACAAAACTGAGAAACAGAGACAAAAAGCTATTCCATGCCAGCCTATCCTGCGGAACCTACCGTTGGCTCACTTGCCAGTGACACAACTGACATCATTTCTGATATGTCAGAGGGCTCGACTCTGACACGTAGGCCAGTGTTTGAGGCCCGCCTCTGGTGCAGACTTGGCCTTGCAACCCCGGCACGAGCTGCCCATGAAGGCGCTGAGCGTAATTTACCTGGGGTGCTGGGGGGGCTTGAGGGAGTTGGATGTGTGACATACACAGGTGCCTGGCCACCAACACGTGAGATGGACTTAGTTATTCCTGCAATAGTGAGGAGCTGGATTTTAACACTGGAAACTAAACTGCCTTGCACCAATTCCTTTCCAAACATGACTGAGTGCACTCAACAAGCATATGTCAATGGCACGTGTTATCAGATCTCCAGGCTTGCCGCTGGGACTTGTATATATACACAGCGGCAAATGCACCACAAGCTGTGTCTCCATCCATTTCCAAATATGGGCTCTGTCCACCATTCTATCACTTGTGGTGTACACAATCCACTAGTAGTTCTACACACTAGACAAACTGTCTACTTTGTGCATCCATCTTTGGATGGGAGGGAAAGGCAAGCTATTCGAATGACCTGTTCTGCATGTGGGTGGCCGCACACCACGCACATCGCTGGTTAACTGCCCTACGCTCTACACTGCCAGGGACAGTTGCGCTGACCGCACAACAAGCAGTTACAGCCTTGGGCAATACGAGCCAAAGGCCTGACTGTCAACATGTTCAGAACGAATGGAAAGCTGCTGTGGGCTTCTCTGCTTGCATCAAGGTAGAAAAGTGATGCTTTAAACCCATTATCAAAGAAGTGGACCAGGCTCCCTTATGAAAAACATCTTGAGCCCTCCAGTGCAGCAGCGAACAACGCATTGAAAATATACTGCAAACCCTCCAGGCACTCCAACCAACCTTCACATCTAGCTTGCTCTGAAAGACATCCATGAGGGATGACGCTTTCCTGAAGATCGTCGACTTGCCCGCCTCCAATTCGTCACTGCGGCTTGCAGGCAGGCGTACAGGTGCAAAGTTTGGCAGCAGGTCCGCATGAGCAAGGCCACCCGTGACGCTCGCAGATTGCTCAGGGGTTTCCACCTGGTGTGCAACACATATACTTTCTTTCTTC